GAAGCTCAGCATCTCCTGCTTGCCAGGCAAAATGCTCTACCACTTGATCCACAGCATTTCTGCATTTCAAGTTTCTCTTTCAGATAAGGTCTCAGACACTTGCCCCAGTGGGCCTGACAGGGCTTCAATCCTCCTATCTCTACTTTCTGAGTAGCTGAGATTAGAAGAGTACACTCTTGTATCACTACATCAGGTACCTATTTTGCCTAGATTTTGCCATTTGATTTTTGTCAAGAAATGGACATAAATATAGTTTGCTAGAAAATCAAAATCTTTAAGATGTGTATGTGCTTTTTTTGTGTGAAGTTTTTTTTTTGTAGGTCATGGGGCTTGAACTCTGGGCCTGGGTGCTCTCCCTGCACATTTCACCTCAAGGTTAGCGCTCTAACACTTGAGCCACAGCGCCACTTCCGGCTTTTTGTGTTTATATGGTGCTGAGGAATCGAACCCAGGGCCTCATGCATGTGAGGCAAGCACTCTACCACTGAGCCACCTTCCCAGCCTGTGTATGTGCTTAAAAATAGTTTTCATTAAAGTTTAGCTCTGTCAATGCAAAAAAAAGGAAAATTATTTTAAATTTTCATCTTAAGACACATCTCCAAAATATCTACGCATACACATACACATAAGGTCAACCCATCATCTCTACAAAAACAAAAGAGAAGCCTGGTATGATAGTGCACATCTATAATTGTAGCTACTGAAGAAGTGGAGACAGGAAGATTTGTGACCTGAATGAGTTTGAGGCCAGCCCTGACAATGTTATTGAAATATAAAAGGGATGGGGGCATAGCACAAGTGGCAGAGCACAAACCTGAGGTCCTGGGATCAATCTTGAGTACTGCAAAAAATACACATGTAGCCGGGCACTGGTGACTCACGCCTGTAATCCTAGCTACTCAAGAGGCTGAGATCTGAGGATTGAAGTTCAAAGCCAGCCCAAGCAGGAAAGTCCATGAGGCTCTTATCTCCAATTAACCACCAGAAAACCGGAAGTGGTGCTGTTGCTTAAGTGGTAGAGCATTCACCTTGAGCTGAAAAGCTCAGGGACAGTACCCAGGCCTACAGTTCAAGACCCACCACTGACATATAAATAAATAAACACATAGATAGATAGATAGATAGATAGACAGACAGACAGACAGACAGACAGATAGATAAAGAAAGAAGGTAGGTAGGGAGGGACAAAATGAAGGAAGGGAGGGCATATATCAAAAAAGAACCACCTACCTAATAGATACACTTTATTAGCTAAGTATCAACTATGCATTTCTTAGTAAGTAAAAGATTCAGAGACATGTTTGCATTCTATTTCCCATTGCTTCTAGGATGAAATCCCTGGCTTCCTGCTGGAAGTCTAGTCAAGCGCTCTGGTCATGCCGCCAACCCCTCTGGTGAGGAAACTGTGGTCATAAAGTGGGCTAGAGACAGGGCTGGACAGGTGCCGACATCCTGGGTCCAGCACACGATACTCCATAGAGCTGTGAAGGGTCCCCCACAGTCACAGGCAGGTGATAGAAGATCAGAGCATCTGTGTACTGCCTGTGACCTGCATGCAATCCATGTAATCAAGATAAAATACAAGTCCTCTGCCCGCCATTTCGTAATTGCTCCAAATGCCACCGTGTCAGATGCTTCAGCATCAGGGCTAATAATTTAAGAATTGGTCTGGCAATGTTATGATTTTGCAAATAAATCTTCCACCTATTCACACTCTTTTTTCACATGTTGCCTTTACAGGATAAATCCTGTAAACAGCACTCACTACTGAACTCCTGGTCTTACATGACCCTTTGAGCGTGATATAATATCCTATTGGCAACCGGAGGTAGTTCTTCATCTGGGTGCTGGTGGCTCACACCTGCCATCCTAGCTACTCGAGGCTGAGAGCTGAGGATCCAGGTCCAAAGCCAGCCAAGGCAGACAAACCTGACTCTTACCTCCAGTTAACCAGCAAAAAACCAAAAGGAGGAGACGTGGCTCAAGATGAGCACCAGCCTTGAATGAAAAAGCTAAACATGAGCAAGAGGCCCTGAGTTCAACCCTGAGCACCAGCACACACCCATGTGCACACACACACACACAAATGGACTGGGAGCTATAAGTACAGGAGAACATAAATACCCCTAAGGTTGATACCGTGTGTGTGGTAACTGCAAGCCTGCCACGCCACACTGGAAGGTAACCTGACTTGGGCAGGAAGACTCAGAGACTCAGCTTAGCCCTCCCGGAAGAAGCACCATTTATGCTGAGGCTTAAAGCATGAGGAAACATTGGCCTAAAGGAGGAGATGACCAAGGAAGCAAGCATTTCTTGTTTCAGGAGCACATGCTGTGATCCACTGGGGGGGGGCTCTGCAGCCATGTTAGGGGACAGCAGTCCAGACTGGAGCAGTGGATATCCCAGAGAGACCCTATACGAGGCAGGGCTGACCGCACTGGTGATCCACGGTGGAACACTTCATGTGCGCTCTACAAGGTTTCAGGAGACACAAGGAAGTCTCTCTGCGCCAGCCCCACTTTGAGGAAAGGTTCTGAAAACAGGAAGACAGGACTTCAATCTCTGCAAATCATCTCTCCATCCTGCTGGACCTATCTGCCGACGGCTACATGCCTCGGAGCTGGCAGGGCTCCGTGTTCCCAAGTGGGAGGCTTGTTGGCAGGCAGAAGGGAGGCTGGAGACAGAATGGGAGCTGGGACTAGCCAAACACCTTGCATGAAGACGAGAGAGAACGCGAAAACCGGAGCCTTGCCCATCTGATCTAGAATATCTGGTCAGAAAATAATATGAAAAGTACCGATAATTCAAAGAGGTTTCTAGTTGGCTCTGAAACGCCATGCATTCTTGGCAGGGAATGTACCTCGCCAAATGCCTTACTTGGCATTTCTTGAGCGTAGACCATCTGGCAGCAGGGGGGAGGCCCCGTTGTTTAAAAAGCAGACTGACCCTACTACCCTCTCCTCACCCCAGTTGACCGGTATTTATCTGCCTGCCCGTGTCTACCAGCTTTTTTTCAGACCTAAGTCTTGCAAGGTCACATGGTGATCTGGAAACAACGACCTTGTTCCTAGCAGATGCCTTTGTAGTCCCGGGGGACATCAGCACACCCTAGGGTGGCAGCCAGGACTCTGCAGCAACCTCTAACCCAATTTGGAGCAGCAGGAAGGTGTCTGCTGAGGCATGCATGTGCATTGTATTTTAAGGCATCAGCAGCCCAGTCCTTTGAAAGAAGAGAGCCAGACCAGAAGGCTCTTTTTCCAGTTACTCCTGCTGGCCAGCTCCCGACAAGGGTGAGCCCACATTTCCTGGAGAGTCTCCCAAGAGAGCGAGGGCAGGGCGAGCCCCACAGAAATGTCTACACAGAAAAGCTCTCCACACCAAGTCCCCCTCCCGGGCCTAGAAGAATCCTTGGGGTGGCAGCCACTCCCAACGCAGGAATGCCAAGCATCCTCCTCTCCTCCATCCAGGCAGGGGGCCTGATGCAGGCCTGAAGTATGGGGAATAATTAGTGCCAGGCCCAAAAAGGGGCGCTGGGGAGCCAGGACCCCAGCCACTGCGGTAGGCAGCAAGCGATCCGGGCAGGAAGACGGCTCTGCCTAAGCGAGGCACAGGGCAGAGCCCGGCACCCGGACTCGGGGACTCCAACGGCATCGCCCAGGGACTGGGCATCTATGGCTTCATCAGACTCTTGTCTTCTTAGGAAAAGTGCAGCGTGTGTGTGTCTGTGTGCGTCTATATATGTGTGTGTGTGTGTTCTGTGTGTCTTTGTCTATGTGTGTTCTGTGTGTCTATGTGTCTGTCTATGTGTCTGTGTATCTATGTGTGTGTGTATCTATGTGTCTGTCTGTGTCTTTGTGTCTGTGTGTTGAAAAACTCAGTTTAGCTGTTCTTGACTCAATTTCCTGAAGAATTCAAGGAAGTGAAGCCAGTGCGTGTGTCCGCTGCACGGGGAGGTGGGGGGAGACCCGCCTCTTCCCCGCTGCGTGTGGGTCTCCGCACCCTCCCGCACCGGCCCGGTACCCCACTCACCCGCCCAGGCCCAGGCCCCGGCCCCCTCCCGTCCCGCCCCCGGCGCCCTCAGAAGGCGACAGGTGCCCAGGCCGGGCCCGGGAGGGGCGGCCAGGTGAGTGGCCGGGCGGCGCGGGCCCGGGCAGCCGGGAAATGGCGCCCCCGCGGGCTGGCGCTTCCGCAGGATGGGGGAGGTCGGTCCTTCCCCGGCCGCTCCGGCGGCCTCAGCGGGGGCGAGCGGGTACCAGGCCCGCGCTGCGGGGTGCCAAGGGCCCCGGGCCGCACCCAAGGAGCACGCGGGGCTGCGGGTGACGTCCGCGGCCCTTCCCTCCAGCCGTGCTCGGGCCTCGGCCTCTGCCCAGCCAGGCCGGGTCCCCGCGCCGCCCCGCGCGGTCCGGCGTGGCCCAGAGCGGCCGCGCCGCGCCCCGCAGCCTCTGGGCATGCTCGGTGGCGGCCAGAGGGCGCGTCTCCGGCCCCGGGGTGACGGCCTGGCACACCTCGGCGGAGGCGGGCGGGGCGGGGCGGGGCGCGGCCGGGAGATCCGCACCCCGAGCCTGCCGCCAGCGGGGCGGGGCTGTCGCGGGCTGCGGTTCCTTAGAAAGTAGAGCTCTGCTCCGGGGACCCCGGAGCAGAGGAAAAGGGGCGGGACATGGGCGCTGGGGGCGGGGCCTTGCGGGCCGAGGGCGGAGCCAGGAGGCTGGGGGAGGGCGGGGCCTTGCGGGCCGAGGGCGGAGCCAGGAGGCTGGGTGGGCGCGGCTATAAGGGCCGAGGGCGGAGCCGGAAGCCTGGGAAGGCGGGCCATATGGGCCGAAGGCGGGGCCGAGAGGCTGGGGAGGGCGGGGCCGTACGGGCCGAAGGCGGGGCCGGGCGCCTGAGAAGGGTGGGGCCGGGCGGCTGGGGCGGGGCCCGCCGGGCGGGGCCTGGGAGCCCGGAGCGAGGTGGGAGCCGAGTGTCCGCCCCTCTCCGCTCGGTTCCCGCCCCGGGAATTGTAATTCCGTAGCAAAGTGTCTGCACCGGAGAATCCTCGGGGCGGGCGGGGCACCGGGCGCGCCCGGCGCAACATGGTTAACACAAAGTCCGCGCGCGGCCCCGGGCTCCCCGTATGAAAAGTGTGAGCGCGGGCGGCCGGCATCCCCTGGCCGACTTGAGGGTTAGTTCCCCGGGAGGACGCGGGGCGCCGGGGAGGGAAGCCGGGGGCCGGCTGGCCGCGGGCGGCCCCGGGGGCGCGGGGCCGGCCCCTCACCCTGTCTGTCCCCCCAGGACTACCGGGAGGATGGGATGGACCTCGGCAGCGACGCCGGCGGCAGCAGCAGCAGCAGCCGCTCGGGCTCCCAGCCCAACTCCACCAAAGTGACCCCCTGCTCGTCGTCGCCGGGGGGCAGCCTGGACCTGGTGTCGGCGCTGGAGGACTACGAGGAGCCCTTCCCGGCCTTCCCCAAGACGGCGATCGATGAGTGGGCGCCGGAGGACGGAGACGACGACGAGGAGGACGGGCGCGGGGGCCGGGATGGCCGCTGTCCGGCGCGGGAGCCGGGCGCCCTGAGCGCCGGGCGCGCCGCCGCCTCCGCCATGCCGCCGCCGGTGCCCAACGGCAACCCCCACCCGCTCGACCCCCAGGACCCGGGGCACAACGGCAACGTGGTGGCGGCCGGCCGGCCGGGCGGCCCCCGGGCGCCCCGCCGAGCGATCCCCAAGCCGGCGGCGGCGGGGGCGCGGCGCGGGGGCCGCGGGCCGTGCGTGCCCGAGGAGCCCCCGGCACCCCCCATGGACTGGGAGGCGCTGGAGAAGCATCTGGCCGGGCTGCAGTTCCGGGAGCAGGAGGTGCGCAACCAGGGCCAGGCGAGGACCAACTCCACCTCCGTAAGTTGGCCGGGCCGCGTGCACACGCGCGCCCCCGCCCGGGTCCACGCCCCGCGCGCCCCTCCCCGGGGCGGGGGGGGGGCCGGGCCGGGGGGCGCCCGCGGGGCTGCGGCGGCGGCGGCGGGGCGGCGGGGGAGGGGACGAGGGGGGAGGAGGAGGAGGAGGGCGGGCGGCGGTGCCGGGGCTGGCGGGGCCGCGGGAAGCGGCGACTCATCCCCGGGCCTTGCTCGGGGAGGCTGCGCTGCGAGTCCCCCGCCCGGACCTGAGCCCGTGGGGTGCGCGGCGTCACGGCTTTGTCCGCCCCGGTGGGTTTCCCGCGGTCCTCTCCCCCCACACCCCGCGCGTCGCCCTTGGCCGCGCTGTCCCCGCGCGCGCACGGCCCTGGCCCGCGCGTGGACCGGCTTCCTCTCCGAAATCCCGGCCGGGGGAGCCGGGCGAGCGGAACCCCCGGAGGAGGGAGGGGCTCTGACTCACTCCCGGCTGTGCGGCCGGAGCCGCTCGGAGTTCCTTACCCGGGGCCAGTGCCTCGGTTCAGGGACGCCAGCCGGGGAGGGCTGCGGGGGGAGGGCCGCATCTATAATAAGCGCGGGCAGGTTTGCACTGGTCTCCCCATCTTTTTCTTGGAGAGCTGACACATGACTGGCAAGGAGAAGCGCGGTGAGGGCAGCGTCCCCCCGGACGGCCAGTGTCCATGAAGCCGCGGTGGACATCGTGTCCCTAAACCGGGCTGGGGGTGCCCCGTGGGTGGCGGCCCGGGGGCGCTGGGGGAGGGGAGCGCTGGTTTCCGGGCGTCACTGGTTGACCCCAGGCCCCGGGCTGCTGGAGACTGGGGGTGAGCGTGGGGGTTGATGCGCTTCTCCGGCCTGGGTGGAGATTCACAGTGTGCCACGGAGAGGGCCCGGTGGGGCCCAAGGGTCGGTGTCCTTTCCGGCTCATCGCGGCTCGCTGTCTTCCCGGTTAGGCTAGGGAATAGTTCCTTCCGCAGACGGTACTTACGGTTGGTCTCCTGCCCCGCCATAGCGCTCTCTTCCAGGGTAAATGCAAGAACTGGGGTTTAAAAAGCCCGGTTCTGGAGGGGACGGGGAGCTCTGTTACCCGAAGTCCCGAGGCAGGTATCTGAGCACCCCCTGGGGAGGTGTGGGGCCCAGGTGAAGGTCCAACCGCAATCACGCAGCCGACCACCAGGGGCTCGAACTGGTGAGGAGACAGAGACAGCACCCGCCGTCAGCAACCCGACGTTGACCAGCTTCACTCACCAGCCTCCAGCCCTAGAGCGCGCCACTCCCTCCTTCTATACTGAAGCAAAGCTGTCTCCTCTTGATGTGGGCCTTTCTTCCTCCTGACCCTCCGAGCCCGGACACATCCGAGATGTCCCCCGTGGGCATCCCCCCTTGAGTTATGCTGCCCGGGGCAGGTTGGAGTTTGGCGCAGATTCCCCTGAAGTTGAATGCCCCCCTTTGATCTCACACCCGGTACAGCCCATCCTTCCTGGGCCCAAAAACGTCAAGATCTTCCCACTGGTAGATGTTGGAGCAACCATTTACTCCAAAGATGGCTTCTGCCAGGTCCTCCCTTCGGGACAGGCATGCGCTCCGAGACAGGTGTTGGGCTTTGCAGACATTTTGGGGTCCCAGAGGGGGGATTTTCCCACGTGTTTTACCCCAGGATGAGTGTCTTCAAGTTCCCAGAGCACACCCCTTTTACAGGCAAGTGGACACAGAGAGAGGGACAGAGAGAGAGGCTGTTTTTTTTCTTTTCTTTTTATTAAATGTTGTAGCTTCAAAGGGAAGGTAAGACCTAAAGCAAAGCAATTAGGACTTATATGCTTTCAATGGAGCTCTTTATTAGTACAGTGTTTGTCTCTGAATTCCTGGTAACTGATTCCTCATCTGTGGTCCATTCCCCTCCTGGCAAGGGGTGGGGTGGGGGGTCTTGAAGGCCTACTCTTCCTAAGTTGAATGTAATTTCCCCTCTTTTCTCCCAGTCCTTCCATAAGTTCCTCTCTTACAGAGTACGGTCCTCTATGTTTAGCTTGTCTCTGGAAACTCGGCTCTTTATTTTTCACCCTCTATTTTAGACTTTTTTCTGAAATCAATTTTATTGATATCTCAGTGTGCCCACTGTGCATAGTTCATGTACATTTGGCGATAACTTTTGACATGTATGTGAGTCACGAGTATAATGTATGTATGGTTTTTGACACATCCATAGAACAATCACCAAAATCAAACTAGTGGAATATCGCCAGCCTCAAAGTATCCTTTTCCTCTTCAAACTACTCCCTCTTTCCCTGGGCATCCACCAATCTGATCTCTATACTATAAACTAGCTGACATTTTCCCAAATTAACATAAGTAAAGTCATTTCTGTCAACATCTTTTTCTCCAATTTTGAGATGTGTCCATACCGTCATGTGGGTGAACCAATCTTTCTGTTGCTGACTTTAGCTCCATTTTATGACTCTACCATAGTTACTTGCTGATGGTCTCTTGGAGTTTTTTTAGCTTAGAGCTAATACAAATAAAAGTGCTGTGAGTGTCTGAGCAGAGGCCTGTGTGGACAAGCCCTTATGTTCCCTTAGATAAACCATTGCAAGTACCGCCTCCCAGAGAAGGACCAACTTACATGGTCACGGTATAGCTCTTCCAGCACTGCCTAGAACATTGCTCTCCTCTATCCTCTTCCTTGAGGCTTTCCAGAACAGCTCTCTTCTAATTACTTAAAAGGCTCCAACACTCATTGCTGAAAACATGGGAAGACTGCTAGTTGTAGATCCCAAACATTTTCAGAGTATTTTGTGTGTGTGTGTGTCCATGACAGGTGCACATTCCTCATCTAATGAGTAGATAAGAATAATTTTAATTGGTGTGTTCATTGAAAGCACACTCTCCTAATGAGTTATTTCCAAAGTACTTGAGATATTTTTGTCTTTGCATTGGTGTCTACTGTTAACCAGTAGCATTCTTTAAATTAGCTACATTTCTCTCTAGAACAGTACTGACCACAGGTGGAGTTCAGTGTTTTATTCTGGAAGAATTACAATCTAGTTACTTTTTTCATTGAGGATACTAGTAAATAATAACTAAATGGCTGAGTGATTTGCTACCTGTTAATCTGGCTATGCTTAAAGTGCAAGAACTTGTGTTTTTCCCTTCTTTCCTTCCTTCCTTCCTTCCTTCCTTCCTTTCTAACTTCCTTCTTTCCTTTCTTCCTTTCTTCCTTTTTTTTTTTTGGTGGGTCATGGGGCTCGAACTCTGAGCCTGGACACTGTCCCTCAGCTCTTCAGGTCAAGGCTAGTGCTCTTGAGACACTTTGAGCCACAGCACCACTTCCAGTTTTCTGGTGGTTAATTGGAGATAAGAGTCTCACAGACTTTCCTGCCCACGTTGGCCTTAAATCATGATCCTCAGATCTCAGCCTCCTGAGTAGCTAGGATGACAGGCGTGAGCCACTAGCAGCAGGCAAGAACTTGTGTTATCTAAACTGAATGAAAATGTCTTTATTACTTCTATAAAATCTGGTAAGATTTATAAGTAATGCATTGTCTGATTCTGCAGCCTGGTGACAGCATCGAAAATGTAATGGATGGCAGGTACTCCAGGGCACAGCTCTCCTGACAGTGAAAAATAAAAAACCAAACAGAATGCCAGGACTAAATGTGTTCCCGGCTTTGACACTTAACCTTGAAATGTCTTGCACCCCAATAAAAAGTTATTTGCCCCCCTTGCTGGCTATATTGATCGCAGTTTAACGGCTGCAGAGGCTGTGAACATAAGTTAGTGGATGTTCAGGACGTCTAACAAAACCGGGTGGATGCCAAACAAAGTTGGTTGCCATAGCTGGGGGTTGTAGCTCAGTGAGGCACAGGAGGCTTCGTGGTTACTGGCTTGCTTGCTTGGCTGGTGCCCTGCCACTTGCATCATGCCTCCACCCCTGTTTGTTTGTTTTTTTACTGATTATTTTGGAGATGGAGTCTTAGTCTTGTTGGACTTTCCTGACTGGACTGACTTTAAACTTCAATCTCCTAAATCTCAGCTCCTGGTTAGAGTATGAGCCATCAGAATCTGCTGATGTCACTTAAAAAAAAAAAAAGGAATGTTTCTTTTGGGCACAATAGCTAATACCTGTACTCCTAGCTAAATACCTGCACTCCTAGCTACTCAGGAGGCTGAGCTTTGGAAGTTTGGGATTCTAAGCAGATTCAGGTAAAACTAAATAAATAAATAAATTCATGAGACTCCCTAAGAGTCATAGAATGGGTATAGTGATGCATTCCTGTCATACCAGTTACACAGGAAGTATCGATAGGAGGATCAAAGTCCAGGCTCATCTGGACAAAAGGTAAGACCCTATTTGTAAAATAACAGAAACAAAACACAGCTGGAAGTGTGGCTCCAATGATAAAGAACCTGCCCAGTACTAGAAGGAAAAAGAAAAAAAAAACAACAACTTTTCACAAAATTAAGGGCAATAGTTAGGATCTTACAAAGTTGGAGGTAGGTTCTAATTCTTCGTTTGATAGAAAGTCTTCATTTCCCTGTTTGTTTCTCTTTTCACATCCCTATTGTCAGACAGTGACAGAATTGCCATCTTCAGTGTCGACTTTAAAAACACTCAGTCACCACTGTATTGAAGCCGGCCAGGCCAGTGCCCGCCCAGGCCCCGCACTGGCCGCCTCCATTGTTCATTTGCCAGTGGTGATCACCTTTCCTGATGAGCTCCTTCCTCTCCAGCACTGGGTGATACCCAGTGCTCTTCACTCTTGGTCCGGGGATGACTGGGTCATAGGAACTTCCCAAGGACTGCCCAAGTTCTAGAAAGTTCTATGAAGAGAGCAGCATGTAGGTTGTTTTCTGCATTCCACTTGTGTTTGCCAAGCCTTCCCCCCCCCCCCCCCTTGCAGGATGGTTGGAGCCCTGAGGGGAGCCTGGGTTCCCAGAGCTAGGGGACAGATCTCTACAAATGGAGGCATTTGTCCCTTCTACGATGAGGTGCAACTG